CCAGCTAATCCCAAGCCAACTTACCAAATGACCACGCATGCATGAGAAAATGAGAGAATCCAGTCACAACTGGCCAAGACAGGCCCAGATAAACAGAACCACTTAAGTGACCACTGACTTATAAGCAATAATAAATAGTTACTATTTTAAGTATATTGTTACATAGCACTAGATAACTGATACAGTCATATGGGGTAATAATAATCATAAAGACTATGGGTCATCAAGGAACTATGCAACCAGAGCAAGCCATCATGAGCTGGGTGCTATCATACCCATGAAGTTGTAAGATTATGCTGTAACTTCCTGATCTTACAACTTCATGGGTATGATAGCACCCAGCTCATGATGGCTTGCTCTGGTTGCATAGTTCCTTAATGACCCAAGTAAACAAGAATAGATAATGAGAACAGATCTATGAGCATTCTGATGACCAGACAAAAGAAGAAAAACTGTGCCTGATTCATGGATGGATCATCTCGGTACACTGATACAAGCTGAAAATGAACTGTTGCTGCATTGTAGCTCCACTAAGGGACTGCCCTGGAACACAGGACTAAAACGAATTCCTCCACTGTACAGAGTTTGAGAAGTTCACCTAACTGTCCATTTTGTACGGAGAGAAACGTGGGCCAGGGGACCCCCAGATGGTGGTAAATGGTCTAGATGGATGATCAGGGGCCTAGAAGGAATAAGCCTGGAAAATCAGGCGAAAATAATTTATGGAAGAGGTTTATGCATAGTATGTACAAAGGGTGAAGCTCTGTTTCACATGTTAATGCTCAACAGAGAACTCCACTGAAGAGACATTAAACAATCACCCATGGTAACTTGTCTAGTAGATGCCAGTCAACTTCTGTACTCAGCCGTCCAAATACTTCCACAAAGGGCCCATGAGTAACAGGCATGGTAGTAGAGGTAAAAGCTCTAAGTGCACCCTAAAATAGGGGCTCCCTTTCAATAAGCTGGTTTAGCAACTTATGCAGCTCAATGTCCAATTGCTCAGCTATTCTAGAAGCTGATCCCTGGCACTTGAAGGAATACTATCCCTTAAGGAAACCAACCAGACATTTGGTGATAAGATGATTACATTAGACTCCTTCCATCCCAGAAAGGGTAGCAATTAATTCTGGCTGGGACTGGCATATATTTAAGGTTTGCTTTTTCCTTTCCTGCCCACAGTGCCTTGGCTGCACTGCTATCTGAGGGCTTTATAAGAGTACATGATTTACTAACATGAAATCTCACATAACATCACTGTGGAATGAGAGATCCACTTTACACAAAAGAAAAGGAGGTACAATAAGGGCATATGACCAAAGGGTCCATTGGTCCTATCATAGATCATATTTACCTCAAAGCTGACGGCCAACAGCCTTTAAAGGTGCAGATTATAGAGATGATCTTGTTAGGAACTGGGAGCCCTTCAAGATATAATATATAACATAAACCAACAGGCCATTACAGTTATAGAGAATACATGGGTCTGGAAACCAAGAAGTAAGAATGCCTCCACTATCAGTCTCAATAACACACCTGGAGAATTTGTGCTTCTTGTTCCTTCAATTTAGATTTTGTGGATCTAGAGGTTCTGGTTTCCAGAGGAGGAAATTTTTCACAAGAGAGGACAAGAAGAATTCCATTTAATCTAAAGCAATGGCTGCTACTCATTTTGGGCTTCTCATGTTGGCACATCAACAGGCAAAGAAAGGAGTTACTGTGCTGTAACTGACTTTAATTATTATAAGAGGGCAGGGTTGCTGCTACATGATAAGGGCAAGAAGAATATGTCTGGTATAAAGGAAATTCACCAGGGAATCTCTTGGTGCTTTCAAGCTCAGTTTTAACTCTGATTGGGTAATTGTAGCAACCACAGCCTGACAAGTACACAGTGACCATGGGCTCAGATCCCTCAGGGAAGAAGATCTCAGTCATAGCACCAGGAAAGTCATCAACACCATCAGAAGTGTTAATGAAAAATGCAACAAATCTAGAATGGATCCTAGAAGTAGATTATATCAGTTACAGCCTCAAGGCTATTTGTAGCAGTAAGGACAAAAAGAGCTACAGCTCATCCCACTAACACTCCTTTTTTAATATTCTCACCCAGAAATTGAAAAGCACTGATGTGAAGAACTTATAATAAGATGGTGGGGCTTTCCTGGTGGTCTTGTGGTAAAGAATCAGCCTGCCAATGCAGGTAACATGGGTTCGATCCCTGTTCTGGGAAGAACTAGCTCAGCAGTAAGACAGAGGGTAAAAATACAGGTATTACAGACTGGAAGGCTGGTGAGGACTGTTATATCTCAGCGAAATAGTCACAGAACTGTTATTTGTAACGTCTTAGGAGGCAGAACTCAAAGGAAAAGACTGAGACAATTAAGAACACTGGTCTGTGTTAGTGCTTTTTACTGCTCTCAGCAAGGTTCTATTCAAGACAGATAAATCTGGGTTAGAATTAGCAGGTTTGCAATCAAGGTTGAAAAATGAATATACCTCTCTGTGCCAATGGCCTAGAATTAAAATTGTGTGGTAACTGGAGGTCATATGGGACTAAAAAAATCCAATTGCTTCTGATTCTCAAACTGAGGCAATGCTAAGAGGTAATGGAGAAGTAGTTTGTAAAAAACTGATGTTAATATTAGGGAAAACTGGATGAGGGGTATACAGGTACACCTCAACATTATCACTGCAACTTTTCTGTAAATCTAAAATTATTCCAAAATTTAAAAATTTATTAAAAGAATAACAAAAATACTGGCCCTAATTCTTTCTCAAGCCTATAATACCCTGCATGGTCTACCTTTAAAAACACTTCTAAAACTTTTACATTTCTAGACTTTCCTAAACTTCCAGAACTACATCGGCATCAAGTAGGTTACAAAGCTGCATGGCTCTGAAGAACACCCTTCAGCTATGGCCCTGAAAGATAACAGACAAAGGGAATCTATTAAAGGGCAAAGCCACGAGTCATATGGAGTACAATGAGCAAGGGTTCCTTCCAAAGGATAGGACAGAAACTGTTACAGGGGTTAATTAAGAACTTATTCCACTGCTTTCACTGTCTTCACAATTTCTGCCTAACAAGATTTTATCTCTACTATAGACCAGTGACTCCTCAGAGTTCCCAATCTTTGTCTTTTCTAAATGGAAATTTTTTCTGTGGTTATCCTGTGCTTACTCCAGCAATGTATAATAAATGCTATGTGTGTGGAGACAGGAGTGAGGTACGCAGATTAACTTGTTTTTTAGTTTTTAGATACAATACCACTTTGCCAACAAAGGTCCCTAGAGTCAAAGCTATGTTTTTTCCAGTAGTCATGTATGGATGTGAGGGCTGGAACATAAAGGAAGCTGAGCACAGAAGAATTAATGCTTTTGAATTGTAGTGTTGGAGAAGACTCTTGAGAGACCTGGGGATGGCAACAAGATCAAACCAGTCAATCCTAAAAGAAATCAATCCTGAATATTCATTGGAAGGACTGATGCTGAAGCTCCAATACCTTGGCCACCTGATGTGAAAGAATGGACTCATTAGAAGAGACCCTGATGCTGGGAAAGACTGAAGGCAGGAGAAGGGGACCAAAGAGGATGAGATGGTTGGATGGCATCACCCACTTGATGGACATGAGTTTAAGCAAGCTCCAGGAGTTGGTGATGGACAGGCAAGCCTGGTGTGCTGCAGTCCACAGTGTTGCAAGGAGTCAGACACAAATGAGCAACTGAACTAAAGTGAACAAGACCATAAGGCGTATAGTCCAAGGCACACCTGGACCTTATGGAGAGAACTGCACATAACCCAGAGATCCTGGATTCTGAGCTGGATATAGTGACTAAATGAGATTTAGAGGCTGTCTCCATCAGGGTGAAGGTAGGGGTACTCTGCATATGGGAAGAATGATGAACAAACGTAAATCTTTAGCTAGAAGGGTAAACTATGGCAGACTGTTGTCCCCAAATAACCACTGCTCATTTGTCATAACAGTAGAATTTGGGCTAGGCATACTTCCCAGATCTCCTCATAACTTGATATAACCACATGACCAAGTTTTGGCCAATGCAATATGCGTAAAAGTTATGTATACAATTTTCAGCCTACACAAAAGCTGTATGCCCTCCCTTTGCTCCTTTCCTCCTTCCCAGTAGGAATACAGATATGAGAGTGGAGGCTGAAGCTATCCTGGTTCATAAAAGGGAAGATACTTATTAAGAATGGCAGAGAGAAGACAGAAGGAACCTGAGACTATGGTGATTGTAGTTTAAGAGAACACACGAGTCTTATCAGCTACCTAGATTTTTATACCTGTTACAGCAATAGAATCAAGAACTCAAACTATAAAAAGCTTCTTTAGGTTTTTCCCAGCTTCTTTCTGGTGACCCTTTGGCCTTCAACACCAGTTAATTGACTACCAACTGACTTCTGTTAAGGTATTAACTGGTAACTGTGTAATACGTTTTCTCACTCAGAAGACAGACAGACAAAATCCACACGTCTCCTATTATGAGGAAGAGGACTGTCCGACTGCAGGCATGCTCTTTTGTTCAACCCCAAAAGTAGCTCTAAAAGACTGATGCTTCAGTCTAGAACCTAGGCTGGTTTTAATACCCTTTTACCCCTAAGTTAACTTTTCACATGAATAAGGTAAAAACTGTATTTTTTTTTAAACAGGTAAAGAGAAGAAGGAAGGAAGGGCATTCATACTAAAAGAGCAAAAAACAAAAAACACTTACGTAGAGCTCTTCAGTTCTATCCTTATTATAAGTCCTGCAAATGAATAAAGCTAATGGGAGAAGTGCACTAAAATGACCAAAGCAATACTAATGGCCAAATCCTCTCTCTATTGAGCCTACAATGTACTGTTATCAAAATACTCTAAATCCTGTTCTTCTGTCTTTGAGATTTCCATAAACTGAAGATCATCCCAATTTTCTCTAGTGGTTTTAATTATTAATAAAAGAAATACCAATAAAATGTTATAAAAGTTCTTAAGGCAACTTACGATGAAGAATCATTTTCCTTAGGGTAATCTTCATTTAACTCTGAGCCAGATGACAGCATTCTTTTTCTCTTTTCAGTCCTACAGAGAACAGAGAAAAACAGTTATTTCACATTATTAAAATGTATAAACCAACATACTCAAGAACAAGAGTTGTGACTACTGTTATAACTCTATACACCACAGTTAAATATACTGTGTATCTGCAAGCTCTATACATGTCACTAACATAAATCACAAAAGACAAATATTATCTCCAAAAGACGCACTTTACACATTCTTCTTTTAACTAGAAGTCTCCTTCTTTTCCCCAAGTTACTGGACTTCTAAAAGGCCTAAAAGATATTTCTAAATAGGCAGAGCTAATGATTAAGAAAGGAATAAAAAATCTTTCATACCTATTTTCTAATAACCCTGATCTAAGAGGAGTGGATGTAGATGTCAAAGAGGGAATTGTCCGGGTAGGAGTTACTCCATTTCCTGCTGCAGCCTTAATTGATCCTCTACTTGGATTACCAAGAACTTTTCGAAATGGAGTATCATCTTTAGTTTCCAAACTTCCTCTTTTTGAAGAGACCTATAAGAATAAAGTTAAACATAGCTAATACTTCACATTAATTGGCATATGTTTAGACCAGTGATCCTCTTATACAGAACTTTTAAAAAATATCCACAACTGGAGACCCATCTCCAGAGATTCTAGCCTATCTGGTCTGGGGGTAAGGTCCATTCATCAGTACTTCTTTTTTTAAAGAACACTAGGTGATTCTAATCAGTATCAGATATTGAGCTTGACATGTATTTTCCTGTAGTACTCTTGTAAGCTTAGAAATTCCACAGCATACCTGGAAGCAGAAAAGAATTTGCTCTGAATTACTGATTTTTAAAAAAAGAAAATAACCTCATAGACGTAAGAGTCACATGAAAGTAGATCTTTAAGAAAGAAAATCCAATTATGAATATTTAAAGTGAGCTTCCCTGGTGATTCAGCTGGTAAAGAATCTGCCTGCAATATGGGAGACCTGGGTTCAATCCCTGGGTTAGGAAGATCCCTTGCAGAAGTGTATGGCAATCCACTCCAGTATTCTTGCCTGGAGAATCCCCATATACAGAGGAGCCTGGAGGGCTACAGTCCATGGGGTCACAAAGAGTTGGACATGACTGAGTGACCTAGCATAGCACATTACAGCAAAGTGATATGAATATGAGAAAAAGGAGTAACAATGACATTTGGCTGCCACAATTTAAAAGCCAAGTCACATAGAGAGCATATGATTTTTGAGGGGGTTCTAGTATGGAGAAATGAAACAAATATATATAATGATGGGGAGACTGAAGGTGAAACAGAACCTACTGGCAGAAGATGAATCAAAGAGTCTACCCCAAAACACAGCAAAAATATTCAGAGAGAATGCACACTTTACCTCTATGGAAGATTTCTAATTACTTTCCACAGAATTACAATCTTAGAATAAGAAAAAAGAATCTCTGAGGTCATCTGGATGAATGATTTAAAAAGTTGATTTTCAAATGGATAACTGATTCTCAAGATTAAAAAAAAAAAATCAAAACACTATTATAAAAGCCACATACTGAGAAGTCTCTTTTATCACCCCAATGCCATTCACTCAGTTCTTCTACTTCCCATCCTCCTACACCTTGTAAGTATTCTACATTATTCTACATTTTTAAGGAAATGAAAATCAGTATTTTATTTTTCTAGTTACACAAATGGTAGCAGGCTATATGCATACTGTTTTGCATATTTTCAACCTTTTTTGACCATGACCCCACAGTGAGAAATATTTTACATCACAACCTATTATACATACATACAAATAGAACCGAAAATTTCGAAAACCAGTACTTATCCTTATTGTGAAGAATACCTTCTCTATTACTTTCTATTCTATTTTATTTAATGGTAGTCACAACCCACAAAACTGATTTTATAATCCCACTAATAACAGAAATCATTATTTGTGAAAGTATAAATATCTGCTTCTGCTAGACATATTAACACTTAACAGTTTAAATATTCTAACACTTTAAATTCCTACCTGTAAACGGATGAATCTCAAAGTAATTATGAGTGAAAAACCAAGACAAAAAATTATACACTGATTCCACTAATATAAAACTCTAGAAAATGCAAAGTAATCTAGAGTGACAGAGAGCAATTCACTCATGGCTTACGGATAGGGGCCAGACAGGGAGCTGGAGAGAAGGATTACAAAGGGGGATGAAGAAGCTTTTAAGGGCTATGGCTATATTCACTAGGTTGATTATGGTAATGATTTTGCAGGTATGTACATAAATCAAAACATATCAAACTGCACACTTTAAATATGGGCAATTTACTGGATATCAATCATACCTCAATTAAAATGTTAAAAAAAAACCCCAAAACAAAGAACTCACCTTGTAAAAAGAAATTAACAAAAATGAAACCTTATTCACTGATTGCTTAGTCCAATAAATGGTTTAAGTAATCAACCCACCTCCACACAGTCAAACAGAATTCATTCCTTACAGGAGAGCTTCAAAGTTTCTCTATACACCTGGCTTACCTTTGTAAGACAAATTAAAAGAGACATAGGACTGCTAAGGTGCAATAGTGCAAAGTAAGTCTCAGGACTGGCTGAGTATTTATGAAAGAAAAATTATTAAAAATCAAACAGAAGACCCAACAAAGCAGTCTAGTATCATATAGTGTAGGTCAAGTTCATAATGTAGAACAGATCCAGAAAAGCATCAAAGAAATAGCAACAGCAAATATTTACAGGGTTGTTAGTACATGGTATGGGGGGCTAAGCACTTTTATAATATACATTATTTCACAGCAACGCTTAAAGTATTTTTGCTGTCTCAATTTTACAGATGGGTACTAAGGCTCGAGATACTTAAGAAGGAGCTTCTCCAATGGCCTACAACTAGTAAGAGGCAGCACCAAATCTCAAACCCACATCTAACTTCAAAGCTATGTTTTCAAAAAGTACACTGTGATAAATTTCAGGTATGTGGCAAATATCCTTGTGATAATGTCAGAATTATTAGACATTACAGTCTAAATTCTACTTCCTGCAACTACCTTATAGAATGTCTAAGATTATCATCTTTTTTAAAAAAGCTAGAAAGATTCAAATGAACATACCTGATTGTCTGAGTAAGAAAGCTGCCTGTTGGTTTCCTTCTGTGAGGTCCTGCTGCCCAGAATAGCTCCAAAACTACTAGAACCCTGAGAAGGTTTCATGGCTGGTGGGGGGAAAAAAAAAATCCAATTACTTTAACTAAGAGATTTGTCATTATTATTATTTAATACTGAGGAAACAGAAACAGGAAAAATAAAACAAATCTAAGTGCTTATCTCACAGAAATTAATTCCGATATGTACAGTAAGAATTTAGAGCTAGGATCAAGCAAAAAATTAAGCAACAATGGAAAAATTTGGAAATATGTAATAGAAGGATAAATTTTTGAATGCTAGAGATACTCCTGTATAAACATTTGGTAATTAACACTATAGCAAAGTCAGTCAGTGAAATAACTTTGGACACTGGATGCTAAGCACATGTCAGAACCAGTGACAGACATACTTCTAATAATGTATACCCCCAAAACTTTCTAAGTTCAGAAAACAGAATAAGTGGCTTCTTCTTTAAAGAAATCAATGCTAGTTTAAAGGACATGAAAGGTAATGTATAAATATGGAATTTTATATACTTTCAAAAGTATTTCAATGGAATTTCCTGGCAATTCAGTGCTTAGGACTCTGTGCTTCCATTGCCAGTGGCCCTGGCTGGGGAACTCAAGATCTCATCAGCTGTAGGTGGCCAAAAACCCCCCCCCAGTAGTCTATATTTTAATTTTGTTAATTTCCCACTGAAGATCATTTAGAATGTTTTAATTTAGAAACATTGCAAATAACACTGAACATCCTTTTACATATCTTCTTGCACTAATGCAACAATTTTCATAGGATAAAACTCCTTAGAATAAGAATTGTTGGGGTAAAGGATGTACAATTTTAAACTAAATTGATATTACCACTATTCCTCAAGAAAAAAAAAAAATCTCCAAGCTCCTACCAAGTATATTAGAGTATCTTGCCTACCCTCACACTACTGCCAATGTGATAATAAGAATTTGAATTTGTTTAATTACTGGTGAAGTTGAGAATTATTTCATGTTTATGGGACACCTGTTTTTCTTCCTGAATTTTCCTATATGTCTATCTCTCTACTGAACTGTCTTTTTCTTACTGATTTGGACAGTCAGTATTTATATATTAGCAATATTAACTCTGTCACTGTGACTAATATTTTCTTCATCTTTTCTTCTCTCCTTGTCACAGAGATCATTTAAATTTTTTACACAGTCCAAGTTATTAATCTTTTCCTTTATTGATTCTGGTTTTATGTCATACTCAGAAAGATCATTCCCATCCACATAATATGTTAAAATCCATTCTACCCTTCTAATAATACTTTTATCACTTTTTTAACACTGAAATCTTTGATCAGTGTAAAATCTATTTAGATGAAGGAGTTAAGGGTTCAGTTCTACTGTCTTCTTAAATGGTTAGCTAGTTGTCCTATTTATAGACAACACTGTTCATCAACCATTAGTCTTTTTCCCATTAATTTCAAACACCAACATTATACTTTAAATGTTTCAGCTTTCAAAGTGTTCTTATATTGTTCATGAGCTTACACTTTGGGGCAGTTACGGCAACTTAACCTAAAAGATTAAAACAACTTACCTAAGAATACAGAATAAGTTAAGTCCACAGCTAGTCACTCTAAAAGCAGTAATGACTTACTGTGTGCCTATCAAATACCGGCTGTGACTGACATTAATGAACTCTTAATTTTTTCCTAAGCACTGTAATTAAGGTGAGAAAACATTCATTTTAGAGATGAGGAAACTGAAATTCATTTATTAAAGGAATTGTCCTAAACTGCACAGGATATAACAAGCAGAGATAGGATTCAAACCCAAATCTGTTTAGGTCCAAAGTTTGTGTTTTTCCATTACGCCATGTTGTTCAGACTCAAATCTGGGCGCCAGTCTGCTGTGCTTTCCACTCTTTAAATGCATTCAGAGACATACTTTCTTACACATGTCAATTTTTAAAACAGTGGTTCAATTAATATGATGGAATAAAACAAATACAGAAATGTAGACATAATCCCTGACATATTCTAAAACTTTTAAATGGCACTCAACTCAATTCTAAAATTCAGTATTTAGAAAACTGACATGGTTTATTCAGATTTGGTAACATGAACACATGATGAATATGAACCAAATGGCAAACAACCATAAAAAATTTTTTTAAACAAGAAAATAGTTTATCAAATAGCTATTAAATACAAGCAAGGAGACATTGCTACATCTTTATTTTCTAAATGTTTTTAATGTGTTATATTTGTTTAAAAAAAAACTCAGCAGTTTGTTAACTATAAAATACCAGTAATAACAAAGTACTGATGATGACAGAGCTGGAGAGTAATAAAAAGAAGAGTGAAAAAGTCATTTTGAGCAACAGATTACTTCTAAAAAGATGCTTATAAATATGTATTCTTTAAAGTCAAAACATTTTACATGAAAGGGGTTGGAGGAAGTAGGGGAATCTGATCACACTACTTGATTTTCTATGGTACCTTCTGTTTTTATAGAAAAATAAAACCGCAGAAAAAGTTTCATATAAAAAAGCAACTATATAACATTTATGTAACAAGGTAAGTTTTCCCAAACATAATTTAAATCCTACTCCTTCTTTAGACACACACTCTTGTGGAATCTTTAGGGTGTTCTACATAAACAATCATGTCATCTGAGAACAAAGACAAATTTACTTTTTCCTTTTCAATTTGGATGCTTTACATTTCTTTTTCTTGCCTAAGTGCTCTGCCTAGGACTTCAGTATTATGTTGAACAGAAGGGGTAAAAGAGGTCATCCTTGCCTTGTTTCTGATTTTGGAAAACCTTTCAGTTTTCCATCACTGAGCTATGGGCTTTTCATATAAGGCACTTATGTTGAGGTAAGACAGATCCTTTAATTCCAACTTTGTTGAGTGTTTCCATCATGAAACAAAGTTAAATTTTATCAAATGCTTTTAATGCATCAAGATGATCATATGGTTTTTGTCCATCATTCTGTTAAATTTGACGTATCACACTGACAGATTTTTTCCATATCTTAAAACTATTCTTGCATTCCAGAAACAAATTCCACTTGGCCATGGTGTATAATCCTTTCAATGTGCTGTTGAATTAGGTCTCCTAGTATTGTGTTGAAATTTTTGCATCAATATTCATGAAGGATACTGGCCTACAATCTAGTAATATTTTTTAATAACTGCTAATGTTAGACCCTCAGATGATTAGTGCTTACCTGCATTAAGTCTGTTTTGATGGACTGCATCTAGAAACAACCTCATTTCCTCTGCATCCTTACTTGGTACTTTATCAATAGACAAGAAGCTGTTATCTTGTAGAGTTAACATTAGGCGGCTTTGCTTTGCTCCACTGGGTCGAAGCACCACATTTTTAATGTTATGACTTAGCTGATCAACACAAAAGGAAAAGTATCATTAAAAATGAATTATAATGAAGCATAGTAAGTTGTACAATGAAGACTAAACTTTATATGCTCTAAGATAACATTTCTTACTCTTTTCCATATTAATTTAGTTTTTTCTTTATCCAACCAAAAAGAGTTTCCATTTCTTGGTACACTTAAATCATAGATTTCACTTCTGGAGAGGCACACACTATTAAAAGTTTACAGTAATCCAAACACTCTTGACTTTTTTGGTAGGAACTGAATATTTTCAGGTATAGTTACAAAAACAAAGAAGTTAATTTTCTAACACTTGATGGTTATACCATCACCAATTTAGAAAGTCATATTGGATTAGAGGCTTTTTCTCTTTTTAAACAAAAGCTTATAAAATATCTAGCAATTGGTTTATGTAGCTGCAATGAAAAAGGATATTCTGATCCAAACTATATTCCTCAAAAGAATTCTATTTCTCAAAAATAAATCAATATAAACCTTTACAAAAATCAGAACATCTTTTTTGTTTTCTTTTTTAACTATCTAAGCAGGCTCATTTAACTTTCAATCACAATGCTCCTAAGTTCTCTGGAACTCTCTTAGCTTACTTCTCCCGCTCCCCAGAACTGGTTCAATATTTCTCTTATACTCTTCCAGACTCTGGAAATATGCTATTAAGTGATCACTTTTATTTTTTCTTGGTTGAAATTTTTCCAAGACTAAATCAATAAATCTTGAATTTTTTATCTTACTAATTCTCCCAACTAGTCACCCTTATTCTCTAACATTCTCCCTCAGCAGGCATATACAGAGGTTTCTAAAGTTGCCTTTTGCTGAAGACATACCCTTTGAACAGCATAAAGAAAGAAGTAAAAGCATCTCACAACTTTTAAAATTAGGGATAATTGACCTTGTGACACTACTTTGTCAACAAAGGTCTGTCTAGTCAAGGCTATGGTTTTTCCAGAGGTCATGTATGGGTGTGAGAATTGGACTATAAGGAAAGCTGAGCACAGAAGAATTGATGCTTTTGAACTGTGGTGTTGGAGAAGACTCTTGAGAGTCCCTTGGACTGCCAGGAGATCCAACCAGTCTGTCCTAAAGGAGATCAGTCCTGGCTGTTCATTGGAAGGACTGATGTTGAAGCTGCAACTCCAAAACTTTGGCCACCTGATGCGAAGAGCTGATTCACTGGAAAAGACCCTGATGCTGGGAAAGATCGAGGGCAGGAGGAGAAGGGGAGACAGAGGACGAGATGGTTCGATGGCATTACTGACACAATGGACATGGGTTTGGGTGGACTCCAGGAGTTGGTGATGGACAGGGAGGCCTGGTGTGCTGCGGTTCATGGGGTTGCAAACAGTTGGACATGACTGAGCAACTAAACTGAACTGACCTTGTGACAATTTTTAGATAAAGGTGAAAAAACAATTTACCAGACTTAATTTATATTTCAAACTTAAATGACAGGTTTTAGACTCAAGTAGGTCTTTCTCTCACCTCCCCCATCTAATGTATTAAATCTTGAAATCTCTTTAAATCTGTTTTCTTCCTTTTGCTTCTTCCTCTGTCTTATCCTTTGCTCAAGTCTTTCATTTCTCATCCGAACTTCCACAATAACCTCTTACATGTCCTTATTCTCCCACTACCTCTTGAAAGTCATCTGCCTAGCTGCCAAAGGAATTTAAACTTAAGATTCTTGGTTCCCTAGTAACTAAGTTCCCTTTACTATGACATAGAAGATCTGGATATTCCAAGATCTGGTTTCTACGTAGCTCTTACCCTCTACTACTGCCATTCATTCTCTACTGTGCATTTACTTTAAAATAATTTTCTGTTTTCCTGAATGTTGATTCACACTAGCATGGTACATCATAGAAATCATCTTCACCTTAACTTCACTGTGTCTAGCAAATTCTTACCTACCCTTTAAATCCTCAGAGCACAAAATACTTCCTTCTTTTTGTTACATCAGTATCTCTGAGGTATTTTTACAGCTGAGAATGCATTTGGTTACTCTTAAGTTTGAGAGGAAAAGTGCCTCACTTAGCTCTGTATTCTTAGCCCTTAGCACAGTACCCATCACAGTAATCTACAGGTGGTTAACAAATGAATGCTGAATGCAAAACTGATCTAGAACTGAGATGACAGTTTAATCACAGGTAGATTCATCATGCTTCTAAAGACCTATGTTTGCTTAAATATTTAAATACTTACTGAGTGCTAATTTGAGTTGAGGACTGAAAGACTGAATCCGTTTTTAAAAAAAAATCTTTCATTGAGATGGTCATATGCATATAAATGTGGTAGAAATTATTGTTTCTACTACCCATGTCACCACCTACAATCTATTTAAGAATACTTTTGATACATAAAATCATAACCAATTTACTTCCAATAGTTTAGAAGCAAATATAAATGGAAATTTTACTTCAGCTCAAGTTCTCAAGCATAAAGTTTTATAAACTGCTCTTCAAAAGAGTACTTTAGAATATTACTTTTATATACTCTAATTAACAAATATAGCATTTTTAAGTGCAGAAAATGTAACACGTTAAATTCAACTCATTTCAACAGAAGTAATTCTTGGCTGCACAAGAAAGAAGTGAAAACAAATTATTTTTTACAGTGATAAAATAATGAGGTCCTTCAAAAGTTAACAAGAGGGACTTCCCTGGTAGTCCAAAGGTTAAGAATCTGCCTTACAATGCAGGGAACTCGGGTTTGATCCCTGGTCAGGGAACTATGATCCCACATGCCTCAAAGCAAACTAAGTCTGCACACCAAAACTAAAGAATCTCTGCACTGCAACAAAAGATCCTGCATGATGCAATGAAGATCTTATGTGCTGCAATTAAGACCCAATGATGCCAAATAAATAAATAATTTTTTAAAAAAAGTTAACAGAAGAAAACAGCTGTAAGGATGACCCTGAATATCAGTCTTGAATAGTCCATACCACAACCTTTGGCAGGATTAATTAGGAAAAAGAAATTAAAAAGACACTAATGAGTCCTATTAAAAGCTAATACTAAATAGTGATGAATTTATCACATATGTTGGTTGCCGGGGGGTGGGGGGGGTGTGGTGCGGAAGGGGGGAACATAACTGAAGTTATCCTAATGTGGTTTTAAAAATAGCTTAGACAGTATCCAGACTCAGTTTCTCCCAGCTTCCTCTTCCCACCACTTTCTTTTCAACAATGGTGACTACTTCCTACTCTTTATTATACACCATAAACAATTTTGCTGAATAGTTTGTAACAATATTAGGTGCCCTGAAAATTAAACAAATAGTAATCTAGTAGGGGTACTATGATACTTAGTGTGGCGGAGAATAGCTGTTCACTAAAGCATGTGATTGAAAGTCTATTCCAAATCAAAATTTTGTAATACCTGAAATATCCTTGGAATCCCTCCAGTATTGTAGTGAACTACTAGGCTGACTTTATTTTCTTTTTCCACAACTTCAAAGGATCCTTCTTTCCATTTTGTAATCCCAGTCTGCATACTTCGAATTCTGATAGGGCCATGTATCTTCAGAGGAGACATATTTTCTTTAAAAATAAATTGCTTCTAGCCAAATTAAAAAGAAAAAATACACCTTCACCTGACAGATTCTAAGGAAGAAAAATAAAATAATAAGTTACAACTTACTAGTGATTAAAACAAGAGTTTGAAAGAGAACATTTAATGAATCATCATATGTCCTTTTCTCCGTTTCCAATAAACTACCTTTTATTAAATATCCTCAAAGGCTCTGATTAGCTGGATAGTACTGGTAAGAAGAACAAATGAAGCAGTCACTGATGTTCAGTGATTGAATTTACCCACCTTTTATTTTTTCTGTACATGTTCTCTCCTTAGCCACGTACCTGAGTCCATTTAGTGTCTAAATTTTGCATTTTGCAGCATTAACAACCATACTGCTGTCACTGTATGACAATTAGGAATACTAAAGATTCCATTCTCAATGTGAGTGCCCATGGCAATATGGCCAACTTTTACCTTCCTTCATGATTCTAAAGGATCTTGAATTTCAAATACAAGTAAAAAAAAAAAAAAAAAAAAAAAAATTCAGTCAGCTGACTCCAGTTTTTAAAATTGAGATCCTAATGAAACATCAAATTGTATCACCAAACAATTCCTTCTATCAGTTGGTAGTCTAAGCATATCCACATGTATAAAACATATTATATGAATAAATAATTGTGAGAATAATCAAATTAGTTTAACCTAAACAACTATATTATTAGAGAAAATCATTTATTCTCTAGGGAAAACTAACAAAAAAAACCCCTTCCTAAGATCCACCTACCATTTATGTTTAACTCTACCATTCCTGCAAAGAATCTTTACCAATTTTATCTTTCACAAATATTTAAATTTCCCAAGTGAACTTCTGATACTTACAGATATGACAGAATGTCTAAGACTCTTAAAACTAGCTTAACAGATGTCAGCAAGTAAATACGATTAAACAGCAGAAAATGATTATCAAGTAGTGTTATACACATATACGTAAAAATTAAAATGAAATTTACACTACAGCCTTCAAATCTCTAAAAACATGGCCTCTAATACAGATTCTTGTTTATAATTTAATAAGTTAAAAACCATTATACTTTGCCTCTGCCTAAAAAACTCAACTAGAAAAGCTAAAAACAGTAATATACGTACAAAGGAAAAACATACTAGATCTAGGTATCAGGAGCCAGCTCCATCACTTACTAACTTTTAAGTTACTTTTCCTCACCACTAGTTTTCTCAGCTGTAAAATAGCAATGCTACAGTGTTGCAGAATTAAATGAAATATTGCTAACACTCATTAGACATTCAATAGACAGCAGCTTCAATATGAATGAAATTAGTGCCCACTTTCTGAATTTATTGTCTGCAACACCTCTTATTCCAAAGATCCCAGACAAATAACTCGTTAACAACGGTCACCAACTCACTGCTAAACAGAGGCTAAATAGAGGCTAAACAGGTGACACAAACGATTTAGACAGGCAAAATATGAAAATGTCTGTTCAAATCTAGCCAGCTTTGCCATGAACCCAGCATTACCAGATCACCTAATTCTTCAAGAAAATGCAATCAAATTTTTATGTCAAACTGCCCATTTTAAATTCTGGACAATGAATTCAAAGTTTCAAATCAAACAAAACCCACCTAGAGGTAGCATATAGACTGGAGAACCCTAGTTCAAGGCCCCTAAGTGCTATATTATCAAACAGCTAGGAATAAATTTAAAGAGAGATATGAAAACACTTTGAATTGTTTATAGGGTATTTTGCATCGTAAGTCCTCTACTATTATTCACTGATCGAATTTTTTGTGTGCCTAATTGTGGCCAGATTTATATACTCTAATTAGCTGGGTGTATGAATCCATCAAAGTAACAGAGGCCACTGTTGTTCACAGACCTGTCTGTTAATGTGACATTTTGTTCCAACCAGTAATTACAAAATCAGCAATGTGTTTGTAATACTTTTTTTTAAAAAAATCCTCAGTCATGTCTGACTCTTTGTGACCTCATGGACTGTAGCTTGCCAGGCTCCTCTGTCCACGGGATTTTTCCACGCAAGAATACTGGAATAGTTTGCCATTTCTTCCTCCAAGGATCTTCCCAACTCAGGGATCGAACCCACATCTCCTGAGTCTCCTACATTGGCAGGATTCTTTACCACTGAGCTACCTGGGAAGCCTTTTTTTTTTTTAAACAATTAATAATTTAGTGCTTTACTGCTTGGATATAGCCTTGAGATTTTTTCCACTCTGTCTCATAGCACTGCCATGAATATGTGATCCCTCTTCTACTCCAGTTGTCCATGCCAGAAACACGAGTTATCTTTAACACCTCTCTTGATGATTATTAGTACTGGACTGGAAATGGAAGGTAAAGTTGTCAATTTAACCTCTATATACCTTCCAGACATCTTCATAATGAACTTCAGATTAACTCACATCACTATCCACAAAATCATTCAACAGCTCCCCATGCGGGCTACAGTTCATGGGGTCACAAAGAGTTGGACATGACTGAACAACTGAGCACAACACAGCACATGCTCTCACAATAAAATCTACTCATTCACATGACATAAACACCATTCATGACTCAGGCCCTGCTTACCTCTCTAACCCCAAGAGACTCTCCAAATTCAGCCATCTAAACGATTTACAATTTTCCTTAAAAAGGCATATATTCTCATGCCACTATACCTTTGCATACACTGTGGTCTACATCTGGAGAATTTTTTACCTACTCTCCCCATCCTCCACAACAACCCTTTTTAAATTCTCCTGGCTATAATATAAAAACTCAACTTAGATATTATCTTCTCTAAGAAGCCCTTTCTAGCTATCTTTCAATTATTCTCTTATCCCATACACACACTGAGAGCATTTAATGCTTTGCTCTTCTGCTGTACCCTGCGTTTACCTCTAGTAGAGCATTTATCACATTGTATTATAAACTACCTATTTGCCCCTTTGTCTCTCTCTTCTATGTGGGATAGAAGACAGGCCCAACTGTCCTAGACTTAGCAGGTGGGGTGTGACAGATGCTGAGAAGCCCACCCCAGTGCTCCCCACAGAGAGCCACCAAATGAAAATGCAAAACTGTTATTTGAAGACAGGGAATATGTCCTTTATCTTTGCATCCCCACGAGGACAGTGTCTGGCACACAAGAAACCACCTCATTATTCAAGAATAATAGCACAATCAATTTTATCATTTTACAGTTAAAATATACAGCAGGAGATACTAGAACCATAAATCCCTTTTATATGGCCAATATAGGATTACATTTACTAAGCTCTTTACAGGAGCATCATTCTGTGCTATATATCTCATTCTTTGAAAACTACTTCCAGGCTTTTTCTATGTGCATCTGAATTTCTCCTAAATGCAAAGCTGTCCACATATCAATGAGAAAAATCATTTATGAAAAACAAGAATATGCAGTTGCAGAATGCATTATTAAAACAAAAAACATTAGCAAATGTGTCTAAACCAGGATTCATACAATCTACTGCTCAATGAAGAAACTATACTTTAAGAGGCTTATCAAATTATCTCATCTTTTCTTATGCATTTAGGATGCCAAATTATAAGGGAATAGTTAAAACCCCATTGTCTCAGTGTCTTCCTTACAGACCCAAAAGTAAATAAAGGACATTGATCTTGAGTTCCTCCAACAAAAACATATTTTAAAAAATTAGATTATTTAACAAGATTTGGAGATAAAGATTTCAAAGTTCAATAAAGTATGGAAGAAAAAACTTTATTGATTACTTCTGTTTCCCTCTATAATTCTCTCTACATGTAATACATGATTTCTCTAGATAAAATTCTCAAATATTCTGATGCAGAGTTCTGGCTAAGTGTATAAAATTTTACTTCAGATATTGAACATTTTCTTAACCATTTCTACTAGTAATCTCTAAGAGAAAAAGCCTAAAAGGTACAAGACATAAAATTGGCAGAATCAATAAAACTTTTTCTTAATGTCTCAAACCAGTCCATTGTCGGCTCTTGCATTAAATGAGTTAACTGCATTTACTTTTGTACACTGATCATATTATCAGACTTTGCCCTACTTGGTTAAGAGAAAAAGACACTAAGTTTCCCTTCAAGTATCTAGCATGATCCAGTAACAGTTCAACTTTCTATGAACCTAACAAAGACAAGTTTTCATTAAACTCTGTAATGCTAATTCACTGTTAAAGTGATATTAGGAAGACAAAGTAGAAGAAAAACCAATTATTCTTTAGGTACATCCAAAGAGATTTGCTTTTCCCTAAATTTCTTCACCATTTTGGAAATCACTGTTCAATTGTGAGCAATCTGTGAAAGCTCAATAACATTGGCAAAAATGTTTTTATACCCTCTACAGTTATTTAAATGCTCTTATTTTAGGTACTGCTTTGAAAACATTCTTATGCAGAGGGTATTCTGTGGTTTAAGAAAGCATGCTAAAGCACAAAAATTACTACTACAAAATAGAAGAAAATGGTCAGTTCTTGCTAGTTAGCATACTCATGGAAACATATATATCCAAAATAAAAACATTACTTACTTTTCAGAGACTTTTACTGAAAAACCCTATGTAATAACAATTCACCTTTATTCTGATCCTTGTGCCAAAGGCAATGCACTCTTCTTGGGGAACTACTCATATTCTGCAGCTATGCCAGTTCTCCAGGTGCCATCAACTCAGCTAAAGAAAATATAAGTGTGCCTTTTTTAAAAAAAAATCTCATTTACAAAATTACAATTTTCAAAAAGTGCTCATTTACACAACAAAGATTAACTCTCTATTTAAAAATCATAAACTACTGAAAACATTTAAAGTATAATGCTCAAGATACACTTGTACACATACCCCCCACACATGCACACATACACAGACTCAACAACTTTAGGAATATATCTGCTGTGCAAAATGAGGGACTCCCAGAGCCTGCACCTAGATCAATTTTTATCTTGGTTTATTTATTCCTGTTACATTTTGAAACTAAGCAGGCAGTGAAATAAACAGTATTTCTTTTGTTCACTTCATAAACATTGTTACATATCATGGTTTTAAATCTTAAAATACCACTTCCAAAAGATGTTGATACAAATTTCAAAAGGTGGGTAAACTTGGTTTTTACTCTTCTTTCAAAACTAAATTCATGGGCTTGTTTCTCAAATTTAGGCCTCTTAGAAGCCTCAACTTTCCCTGAAGTTCTACCCAAACACATCTCACTACGTTCTTGACTGTTGCCATCAACTCTAAACTCCTTTGTTCACTTGGTAAAAAATCATTTATTGAGTTACTACAATTTGATGGCACTATGGTAGGGACACAAATGTGAACATGACACAGTCCATGTCCTCTTTAAGAGATTCCCCAGACTTTCCTACATTTGTCTTTCCACTGTCATTTAGGCAAAAAAAAATCTCATCAGCTTTAGCCTTGTTCTTATTTATTTGAAAGTCATTCATCACTACCACCCTAATTCAGAAACATATCACTTCGCTAATCTTTCCCACCTGGTATTTATTATGCAACATTTACCAAGCACAGTATGAAGCACCATACATGCAATATTTCATAATCTTCACAATAATCCTGAAGAATAGGGATTATTAATGTCACTAATTTACAAATGAAGAAACTGAGGCTTAGACAGATTAGGTAATTTATCCACGGTTACTTAGAGTCAGTAAGAGACACACCAGAGCTCATATTTTTAACTGCTACCACACTGCATCCTTCGGGCTTCCCTGGTGGCTCAGAGGTTAAAGCGTCTGCCTGCAATGCGGGAGACCTGGGTTCAATCCCTGCGTCGGAAGATCCCCTGGAGAAGGAAATGGCAACCCACTCCAGTATTCTTGCCTGGAGAATCCCATGGATGGAGTCTGGTGGGCTACAGTCCACAGGGTTGCAAAGAGTTGGACATGATTGAGCGACTTAACTAACTATACTGCATCCTCAAAGATTCGTAGCAACCACTTTCCAGTCTTCATTCTCTCAAGATTTTTCTATCCAACAAATCATTTATCTTGTAATAACCCTTTCTAAGGACTTTTTTTAATCTCTTACCAACTCAGGTGGTGCTAGTGGTAAAGAACCCGTCTGCCAACGCAGGGGACATAAGAGATGTGGGTTTGATCTCTGTGTTGGGAAGATCCCCTGAAGGAGGAAATGGCAACCCACTCCAGCATCTTTGCCTGGAAAATCCTAAGGACAGAGGAGCCTGGCAGGCTATAGTCCATGGGGTGGCAAAGAGTCAGACATGACTGAATTGACTTAGCACATCCACTAAAGTGTGCACTAGTTCTCTCCTCAACTTTCTCTCTAAAGGGGAAGGGGGAGATGGAGGGGACCTGTCTTATTACTTTCTTTTTTACTCCAACAAAACAACAGGTACTTAGTAAATGCTAAAATACTTGCTGCTGAGGCTAATTCCCCTCCCAAACATTAAAAAAAATTTTTTTAAATCTTATCATGGTAAGAATATAAAACACGAGATTTACCCTCTTAACAAACATTTAAGTGTACAATACAGTATTGTTAACTATAAGCACAAATGTTGTACAGCTTATCTTTAGAACTTATTCATCTTGCTTAATGAAACATTCTCTCAAACATTTTAACAGTTCATCACTACCTATCAAATAAATCCAAATGCTTCTGTGTTTGGCACTCCTATTTTTAATTTTCTATTTCTCTACACAAGTTTTGTTCTACACACACAAATTATTAAATTTTGGTATTCTCTTCCATAACCACCACCAGCCACTTACTTAAACATGAAATTTTCCTTTATGTATTTTTGGAAGCTTCATCTTTACTGGTCTCACAGTTTAACCTGTTGTTAAAATATGTAAACCACCGCTTTGATTTCTAAGGGCTTTCTTTCCTAAAATGAGCCATAGAACTAATGCACAAAGAGATAAAATTGTGTGGTGGCTGAAAGTAAAAAGAGAAGTTGACCTCAATGAAGTTTTTCTCCAATTCAAAGAATCTGAAATCTGAATGATTCTGACCTAAGAACAGGTAATATTGCCCAAAGAGGGAAACTCTTTGTTTTTTTGCATCCTTTGTCTGCGGAGTGAAAAAAGGTGCTTGTCATCAGATGACAAAAATATCAGTAAGCTGGTGTTTCCCAAAGACATGATGGTTCTTCTAGCAAGCTCCAATTTACTTATTCATTCCAACAAATTCTTGAGAAATAGAAATGAAATCATTTCTAACCCATATTCTAGTAAAAGATAAGACTTTAAATAACCACACAAGTAAATATATAATTGAAAGTACTGAAATATGGTATAAAGTTCAGGGCATGGTGAGAAATTATCACAGGGTACCTAATTTAGGATGGGGTGGGGGATACAGGTTAGAAAGTATCAAGAGAAGGCTTCTCTAAGGAAGTACCACTTCAGGTGAAAATTGAAGAATGAGTTAATTGAGAGATAATCATGCTGGAACAGTCCAGAACCACACATGCAAAGGTTCTGTGATGGGAAATAACTTGGTGTAACTAAACAAATGAAAAACACTGTGGCTGGAGTTTAGTGAGGGAAAAGAGAATGGTGCAAGATGAAGCGGGAAAGAATAAGGTTATGCAGAATCTTACAGGCCATAGTAAAGATTTTGAATTTTACCCTAAATGTAATAAATATTTAGTCATGGGAAATCCACTGAAGGTTTTTAAGCAGACAAATGACATATTACTGCTAAGTGGAAAAGTGATGTGGTTTGTTTGGGTTTGGGGAAGAGAATGACAGGAGCAAGAATGAAAGAAATTAGGAGAACCAGATAGGACAGTACTGAAGTGATTCAGCTTATAACAACAATTACAATAATAGTTAATACTCACTGGCAAAAAAAAAAAAAAATACTCACTGGCTATTTATTTTATGTGGTGTGCTTACCATGGCTATTTCATTTAACCCTTATAGCAGTCCAACAAGGTGATCATTCCCATTTTACAAATGAGAATATAAGGAACAGTAAGTGAAATGTTGTGAAAAAGTGTTGTGGCTTGAATTACAAAAGTGATAATGAAGATGTACAGAAATAAATCCAAGACACATAATGGAAATACAATAAATAGAACCTGAAGAGGGTATAGATACATGGGATGACGAGAAGGCAAGAATGGTTTTCAAGGTTCTAGACTATGTAAATGGATATACCACTTAATAAAATGGGATACTGGAAGATAACACATTTAGGTATGGAGAGAAGACTGGTTTCAGGTACGTTCTTTTGAAACTCCTAAGGGAAAAAAAAATCAAATTAAGATGTCCAGCAGACAGTTGGCTATTTAGATTTCGACAGAAAACAGAGGAAACACACTGGAAATAAAAATTCTCAAGTCGTCTATTGTCATTAAGTCACTAAGTCGTGTCCAACTCTGCGATTCCATGGACTGCAGCACACTGGGCTTCCCTTTCCTTCACCATCAACATACAGGTAGAATCTAAAGCTTAGGGTGGAAGGGAACAGTAAAAGGAGAACAAGACTGCACCCAGATATCCATTTTATTCCATCAAACATCTCTCACTATAATCACCGATTACTTTGATGTCAACAGGCTTTTCAGTCCTCACTTATCTTTACCTTTCAACAGAATTCAACATTATTGATAACTTCTTTCACCTTTTCGGCAAAACTTGTACTCCTCTATCCGGTTACTAAACACCAGGAATCTCTCAGCGCTCCATCCTAGGTCCCTTTCCTTTCTAGCAATGCACTCTCCTCAGGTAATTTCATCCACATCCATGGCTTCAATTACTATCAACATGGCAGATGATGTCTATATATATATATATATACACACACACACATTTATCTATGCACCCAGCTTACAGCTAAGCTCCAACCCCAGTATAATCCAATTGCCTACTTGACATCCTCGGTTAAGACAGCTCTTACAGTTAGAGGCATGTCAGACAGTGCCACCCCCAAGAGGCATTTACACAGAGCCTAAATTTCAAAGGATTACAAAACCACCCACAGACCAACTCTCTAGACAGAGGATTTTGTCATCAATTATTATTTCCTTTCACAGATCATGACCTAAACTAGGTAAACCTGACAACCTGATTTGATGGCTAGAGATGGGGAACAACCAAAGGCACGAAAAAAAATATAATCCATGCCTTTGAGTGAAAGATGACTAGGAGAGAGCTGAAGAATAGCCAAGAAAGTGAAACAGTATCATATCCCAAGGCCCGATGGACATGCGGCAACGGAAGTCACCTGAAGAGATAGCAGGCCTCGCAAAGAGGCGAGTGACGGACGACAGCCCCCCAGCAAAGAGGGGCCAGGTTCGGGTCGTGAGGGGAGCGAGTGACAGTAAAGATCCGGTCAAAGGATATGAAAAGAGTGGGGGAAAGCCAAGTGGAGTACCTGTGAGGCGACAGGGGGCGTCGCGGGAATGGGGGCGGGCTGAACAGCAGCCGGCGAACTCCAGGAGAGTGAACGCCGAGTGGGCGGACCACAACGGGGCGAGAAAGGGGGGGGTGGGCAGGGTAAAACGGCCCCGTTGAGACGCTCGCCGTGCCCGCCTTACCTGTGCCTGCTAGTCGGAGCTTTGGACAGGCCTGCCGGAAGCTCGGAGTCCGCGTGAAGGGGGAGGAGCTGGGGGTCAACAAGGAAGGGACACCGGGCACGGAGAGGGGCCGCTCACTCCCCCAGTCAGGGAGAGCGGCTGATGGCGGGAACTGTGACCACACGCAAACACGCACGCACGCACGCACACCCGACGCGACCAGAAGAAGCGCGTGCGCGCAAGCCTGGAAACCCCGCCCTTTCTACGCCCTCTCCCCGCCCCAGTACCGGGCGAAATCTCGCCGAGGTAGCCCCGCCCCTGCCCTGACCGTAGTACGCACGCGCACTTTCTACTTCACGCACTTTCGCCTTCCTACCATTTCCCTCCTGCAGAGTCCACTTGGGCATGCGCACTAGTTGTCCTCCCGGACTGCCTGGTTTTTCCCGCCCTTCACTGGCCTCCGGAGGGAGGTCAGAGTTCACGCCCCTCTCTGGAGATACCTGCTCCAAGCCGGGGATGGGGGACACTAGCAGGGGGCGGGTGTCCTTCCGGTCCTGAAGGGACAAAACAGACTCGAGGATTGTTAACTCCAGGAGCTGCGGGGGGCGGAGGGCGGGAAGAGGTTGTGTGGGCGGGGTCAGAGGTGAAAGGTCAGAGGGCTGCGGAGGGGGCGGAGCGAACCGGAGGCGGATGGCGGCTGCGACGTCTCATCATTTTCGGCGGCAGAGGCGCTGAAGCTGGGACGCGGCTTGGCGCGTCCGGCGGTGGGAGGAGAGCGGCGTCCGCTCCCAACATGCACAGTCTGGCGACGGCTGCGGTAAGTGGCTGAGCCTCTCGGCCTGGGCCCCAAACCCCTCTTCAGCTCCGCGTTTCGGCCTTCTCTCCTAGCTCCCTATGGCAGCCCGGGAGTCCTCCAGCCCTCAGCCCGCGAGGCCCCGGCCTCCCTCCTCACCGAGCTTGGCTGTGGCGGAGCCGGCCTCCACTCTCCCCGCCGGCCGGCTCTCGCGGCCTCTGGCTCCGCGTAGCGCTTTCTTTTCTGGCCCCGGGGCCTGGTCTCGCGGCTGGAGCGCCTCCCTTGCGGCCCAGAAGGGCCATTCATTGATTCATTGCTCTACCAACAGTTTTAGGCCGCCTTTTGCGTGCGGGCGTTGGCGGGGGCGAGGGGACTTCAGAGGTGCTTCTGATACTCCCTGCCTAGGCACATCGCGTCGGGGAGGAAATGGCTTCTAGCTCAAACCACTTGCTTTACAGATACAAAATCCGAGACCTGAACAAGTGACTAGTTAGGATGTCTGACTTACGGTCCTCTGCGTTTAAAACCTTTTTTCACACATCTCGTTTTACCAGCGTGATCTTTGACCAAGAAAAACAGTGTAAACTCCTAATAACCATGCACTGTGGCTCAGAGGGTAGAGTCTGCCTGCAATGCGGGAGACCTGGGTTCGATCCCTGCGTCGGGAAGATTCCCCTGGAGAAGGAGATGACAACCCACTCCAGTATTCTTGCCTGGAAAATCCCATGGACGGAGGAGCCTGGCAGGCTACAGTCCGTGGGGTCGCGGACACGACTGAGCGACAAACATACAAACACAACCTAGCTGAAGTAATCCTGCGGTTTGCCGTTTTGTTGAAGTAAAACCCAAACACTTTGCATTGCCTACAAGGCCCTACCTGAGCGTTTATGTTCCTTACCCCTGTTTTAGTCTCGACTTTCACATTGCTCTGCAGGCTCTAGCTACAACTGGCCACCGTTCCATCTCTTCTACTTAAGCTTTTCCCAAGTTTTGCTTCATTTACTTGTTTCATATTTGTCCCCCTTTTGAGGTCAGGGACAGGGATCATGTAGATCCTGTTTACATGGTTACTTCAGTGCCAGGACAGTTCCTGGCACTAAGTAAGGGCTCAAATATTTTTGCTGAATGCCTGGGTATTGATGAGGGCGGTGACAACTGAGCGAATAGCCGTGATGGGCAGACAGGATCATGTGATTTGAGCATACGCTTCTGAATGCTCATCCAGCTTTTTTCAGTTGCATCAAGGTGAAGTGGCTTAGAGAGAGTAATATACTGAAGTTGCATTACCAGGTAAAATGACATCAATCCTCAATAGAGGGCAAAAATTAGATTTAACAAAAGTTAAATTTAAAAAAGTTTAATTTAACAAAAGTTAAATTTAAAGTTTAAAAGTGAGTTGGGTGTGACTAGGTTACAGACAGCCTTGTCATTGCCAGGGCTAGTGGCGTCTCTGCCTCCTGGCACCATGTTTCTAAAGTGTTTGAAACTTTTCACGGGGTGAGATACCTTTTATATAATCTCTTACCTAGGTGACTGCAGTTTCTCCAGCTTTTTTGTTTCTTCCACACTTTACATGTAATATGACAGTAAAGAATCTGCCTGCAATGCAGGAGACCTGGCTTTTGATTCTGGGTCAGGAAGACCCCTTGTAGAAGGGAATGGTTACCCATTCCAGTATCCTTGCCTGGATAATTCCATGGACAGAGGGGTCGCAGAGTTGGACAGGACTCAGTGACTAACATGAGAAGAAGTGAGTCAGAAAAGGAGGTTGCTGCTGGTTGGAGGGGACGGTTTAAACAATTCTAAGGTTGGCTTGTCTGTGTCTGAGAAGCTGATTGTGATTTCTCTAGGCTTTGGTACCAAGCTGCTGTTTCCCCTGTGCCTCAGCAGTCTCTGCCTGTTCAACTTCTTTTCTTTTCAGTTGCTCCCTAATACATCTTTCAAACAGCCATTAGAGCTCTGGTTCATTACTTAAAATATTCAATGCATGTTTCTTCACTTAAATTTATGGTGACTTACTTTTATTAAGAAATTGAACTTTTGGTGCTTTTTTCACCTGTTTTGCTCTTTGGACTACACAAAATCTCTAAGCTCATTTGTACCGCTTATTCACTGGAATATTTGGTTAATGAAGAGACTGAAGCAAAAAAAGTTGAGCCACCCCTTTCCCAATCCTTTAGTGCCTTCCTTTAAGCTAAACTGACTGTCTTGTTCTCATCTGGGTAGAGGGACACTGATGGTGTATCAGTTCAGTTCAGTCGCTCAGTCACGTCTGACTCTGCAGCCCCATGGACTGCAGCACACCAGGCCTCACCGTCCATCACCAACTCCTGAGCTTACTCAAACTCACGTCCATTGAGTCCGTGATGCCATCGAGCCATCTCATCTTCTGGTGGTGTATATTCCTCACTAAAAATTGTGTCAGTAAGACATGCAACAGTGCCTGCAATAATCTAAACTGCTTGAGAAGACGCTTTTTGTCTAATGATGAAAATTTGTATTTGTGTATACCTTTATTTCTTTTTTAAATTGCAAATAAATCATGACTTCATCTAGGGAGACAGTAGTATCAAAGGAGAATGTGATCACATATGAATGTAGTCTGTTATTCACTGGTTGGAGGAATTGAGATCATTTGGGATATATCTTAAATTTTTGCTCTTTTAATATTTTATTATGCCAATAGTTTCAAGTAGGTCAGACTCTTTTCATTCTTTACAGAATATTTCGTCCTAACATCTTCATTATTGCCATCACAGAATATAATTACATTCTCAAATCTGACAAATAAAAACATAAGTACCACACAGGATTGTATTAAATAAGAGTAAGAAAGTGCTTAGTGGTTGACTGGGTTTATTCACTGGTTAAATGACTTGCTCCCAGACTTCAGCCTTGGGACTCTAATTCTTGTGTCAGCAAAGTAACAAATCACTTGCTATGGACCTTGAAGTTTGCGTCAGCTTAATAGAACCACAAATTTTCACATACAACGTGGGTCTTCTGTAACGAATGTTATGCTAGTGACCTAAAACAGCCAAAGGTAAGCCTTTAGGAGATGCACTGTGTATGCTTTTTTAAAAAATTTCTAGTGACAGTTCTAACAACCTTAAATCCTTGTTTTTCCCTCCCTTTCTATGTAACCAGCAGCTGCATTAGTCATTTCATATCTCTTTGTTGAAGCAGTGCTGGACACCCAGATACCCTCCTCTTTAGAAAGTAAAAAGAACATTATGCACTCTGAAGTATCTAATTTAGACACTATCTCCTTCTCCTTCTTTGTCTCCTGTTGAAGATTTAAGCAGGTTGACCAAGTTTTCTTTGTTTATTCACTTCCATTTTTAAAGAGTTATTTTGAAGAACATTCTGGCCCTTCTTTTATAAAGATAAGAATTTTAAGCTAATTTGGTATTTCCCTTTGACACTGTTAAGAAAGTGAGTTTTCTTACTGTATCATCATTATATAGACACCACAAGCCTTGTGTTGAGCCTTCTCCAGACTTTGAAAAATAATCTTTATTTCAGTCTAATTCCATTTTGTATTCACTGTCACATTCATTGATAAGAAAACCAACAGCTGTTTTTTTGGCCCTTGGATGTTAGGCTTCATTGAAAGAAAAAACTTTACTTGAAATAACATTTTCCACATAGAAACGAATAGACAGGTAAGAAGAGAATGAGTCCTTCCTGAATTTTGATTGTACAAACTTTTTTTAAACATTTTTTTTCCTTTAACCTATTAAAAGGACTACTGACTTTAAGCAGGTTATATATGAGCATATAATTAAATATAATTGATCTTGTTTCTGATCTTCAAAGTGTTGAGGATGATAACTAATAGTCCAAATCAGACTTCTCATAGATGACTTTGTTTCTGGGTATGTGCATTGATCCCACTGTTTACTCATACCCAACTGCAACAGAATATCAAGGTTAAAGTTCTGTATTGGGTTCTTAAATATTAAATTTCTTCAGCTTGGGATATTTGTGATTTCAGTCCTGTGGACTAAGTAGGTTTCACTGATTTTAGAGACAAATATTAGTAGACTAGATTTTAAATGTAATTCTGCCATATACTTGCTTATGTGAACTCCAGTAAATTAATCCCCTGAACCTGTCTCCTTTTAGAATTTTGAGAATAATTTGAGGTAATCCACAGTGACTGGCACTTAGTATGTTCAATAAATATTGCCTCCTATTAAAAGTTCCTAGAAAGGTCAAACCTAGTCTATGGAGGGCTGAATGTGGGATTTACTGAAAGAAGTATAGAGAATTTTGGGGGATAATGGAGTGTTCGGTAATGTATCTTGATTGTAGTGGTGGTTACTCGGGTATATAGATATCTCAAAATTCATTGACATGTATACTTAAATGAGTACGTGTGAAAGTTTTATTGTATGCAAATTATGCCTCAATAAAAATTGTTTGGTAGCCACTTGGTCTCTCACTTTTAACTAAAGAAAGATAGTTCTGAGATTTTAGAGGCAACTAAAACTTAATTATTTAATATAGTTCCCTCATTTAACCAATGAATATTTAGGCTCAGAAAAGTAAGTGATTTATCCTAGGTCACACAATTCTAGAAATGGCAAAACTGTTTTGAAACCACTTCTAGCTCCCGATCTAGTGTGCATTCCAGTTAGGTACCTGTGTTGTTACTTGCTAATTGAGGTCTTTCTGATTCTTTTTTTTTTTTTTTTAACTTTTTTGGGCCACACTCGAGGCTCAATCCAACCAAGAATTGAACCTGGGCCCCCTGTAGTGGAAGTGCAGAGTCCTCTAACTACTGGACCACCAGGGAAGTCCCAGGGTCTTTCCTATTCTTAAACCTGATAAACAGGTTCTTAATCCTAGGTCTATTAATGGATTACAGGTAGACTCTATAAATTCCCTGGAATTATTTGTAAATTTTAGGTAAACGTAAATCACATGCAAGGCTGTTTACAGTTGTGTATTTTTCTGAGGAAATGATCCAGAAATTACTTTTGATTCAGAAGTTGCTAACGTCTGCTCGTGTGGTAGTG